AGCAATTCACCATAATAATGATATTAATAATGGTGAAAGTAAAGTAGATTTGATTTAAACTCTAACAAGTCAACTTTTATATTACACGTAAATGCGATCGAATTGCTGAATAACACAACATTTGTCATGTTTCGATCTGAGTAGAAGCATGAGTATGAAGCTTGCCTAATGGAATTGATTGAATTAAATTATACGGTCGAATCAAGTCAAACTATTAGCAAACTTTATGCGAGAAAACCCAATGATATTAACAATAAATGGTTAAGAAAACAACTAAAAAGACACAAGCAACACAATTGTAACATTTTATGCACACATTGAAACAAAAATGGGCGCAAACGGGCGAAAATTACTTTCGCGCAAATTTTGATTCTCAATGTTTGTAGAGGCATAAAAACTGAGTCCTTCAGTGCTATTAAAAAGTTTCTCAGATAAACAGTTCTCGAGAAAATCTAGTTCGAAGTTGAAACTTTGATCGCTCTTTGTGCAGCTATGCGACTAGATTTTTTAATGAAACTCATTTTCCCTGATTTAATTTTTAATAGTTAACGAGAAAATGCTCTTATTTTGAGAGATAAAACTTTTCGTTTTCTGTAAATGCGATTAGTTCGATTTTAAGTTAAATCGACCGCATTCTGTGACCATAAGAGTTAGCAGCCTGAAACTTGTTATTTGTATACAAAAATTAATGTTAAATATCCTGTATTGAATGATTATTTCAATTTATCGACAATTCTCTTGATATTAGCCATTGTGTTTATAACTTTAAGCTTCGGTATTTCGAGAATGGTGATACCTACAGTGATCATTCTTTCACTAATTTACTCTTTAACTGCTAAATAATTCAATTCAATTTAATAACTTTCCATTTTTGCATTTAGGCCATGAGTTTTGGGTTGTAAATGGATGAGAAACAGCTTATTCAACAAACAAAACTCATCTTAACCCATTTCTTGGTAAATAAACCATTTTTCTGGTTTAACTTACAAAGGCAATGCAAAGAGTAGGGCTGCAGGCTCGAACATTTGAGTTGAGAGTTAAGACTTGGTGGGTTTTGTAGTCCTAGAGTCCTTCAGTGCAACTAAAAAGTTTCTCAGATCAACAGTTTTTGAGAAAATCTAGTTCGAAGTTGAAACTTTGATCGTTATTTGTGCAATTATGGAAGAAGATTCATTCATGAAACTCATTTTTCTGTTATGATTTTTTATGACCAACTAGAAAATGTATTTTATTGTTTGAAATAAATTTTCTTTTTTCTTTAAAACAGATAAGTTCGATTTTCATTTAAACCGACCTCATCCTAAAGCCGTTAGACTTAGAGAGCTTAAACTTATTATTGGGTAAATAAATTTGCTACTATAAATCATGGATTGTGTACTTTTTCCCATTCATTGACAGTTCTCTTGATTTTGGCCTTTGGACATGAAACTTTGAAACTCAATATTTCGAGAATGGCTCTACTTAAAATCAAACTTCTTTGGCTGATCATTAGATTTTATTATGGGCTATGATACATGCGATTGCTAGATAATTCAAGAAACTACAAACAAAGTTATAACATTGGATTACCCAGGCTGTGAGATTTTATATCTGATCAAAAGAGATAAATTGCTACACATGATGTGTGAAGAGAATATTCGTTATTAAATGAATAAACTCAGATTTTCTTAGGTATTATGTAGTTTATGTTATAGCCAATAATAAAATCTAATGATTAGTCAAAGAAGTTTGATTTTAAGTAGAGCCATTCTCGAAATATTGAGGTTCAAAGTTTTAAGTCCAAAGGCCAAAATCAAGAGAAATATCAATGAATTGAAAAAATAACTGAAACCATAATGTACACCGATATATTTTATTACCCAATAATAAGTTTAAGCTCTGTAAGTCTAACGGCCTTGGGAGGAGGTCGGTTTAAATGAAAATCGAACTTATCTGTTTTAAAGAAAAACAAAAGTTTATTTCATATAATAAAATGCATTTTCTTGTTGGCCATTAAAAAACATTACAGAAAAATGAGTTTCATGAATGAATCTTCTTCCATAACTGCACAAAGAGCGATCAAAGTTTCAACTTCGAACTAGATTTTCTCAAAAACTGTTGATCCGAGAAACTTTTTAATAGCACTAAAGGACTCAGTTTTTATGCCTCTACAAACATTGAGAATCAAAATTTGCAAGAAAGTAATTTTCGCCCGTTTGCGCCCATTTTTGTTTCAATGTGTGCATAAAATGTTACAATTGTGCTGCTTATGTCTTTTTAGGTGTTTTCTTAAGCATTTATTGTAAATATCATTGGGTTTTCTCGCCTAAAGCTCCGTAGTTTGGCTTGATTCGACCTAATAATTTGATTCGATCAATTCCAATAGGAAAGCTTCATACTTGTGTTTCTACTCGGATCGAAACATGACAAAGGTTGGGTTTATCCAGCAATTTGATCGTATTTACGTGTAGTATAAAAGTTGACTTGTAAGAGTTTGAGTGGTTTTAAATAAAAGTACCTTCATTATAACCATAATTAAAGTCAATATTATGGTCAAAGTTGAATATTGACTTCAAGTAATTGTCAAATAAGCCAGACTAAGGTCACCAAGTCCCAACTTTTATTATTCTCAACAAAAAATTGAAATATTTGCTGAAGTCTTTTGACGAAAATGAGTTTGCAATGAATTGTTTGTTTTAATTTCTAGCAAAGTTTATACCCTGATCGTGAAATGACATACGTGTTGTAAGACTACACCAAGTTCTGTGCAGTATCGATCTTTCGCCCGAAGAACACATAAAACTATTATTAAAAGCTATCCACAGTTAAAGTTTTCACTGAATTGGATTGTTTAATGACAATGCAAAGTTCAGCAGTGAGTGGATATCGAATGTATTCTTGAAATGACGAAGAAACGAGACGATTCCACATTGAAATGTAGCAAAAACCAAATAATGTAACATGAAATTAAAGTTCTAATTTACTTTTCAAGTAAGTTAATTTGCATCCAATCATGATTTTCAATGCAATTAGCTGAATAATGATTATGAGATAGTTAATGTGTGAAATTTAAGAATAATTTTATTTATATTCAATTTCATGAATGAATGATGTTATAAATAACAAGATGAGGTAAATTGATGTTAATCATTACAAAAGAGATTTGTAAAACTATTGAGCAAATATTGACAGTTTATCATGAATATGAATATGAATGTGATGTTCCTTGGATTGGTGAATTACCACCAACTATAAGATCAACAGAGAAAGAAAAAGACGACAAATTATTAGTCAATATTATTACATTATTAATTGCAGGATAAATTAACTTACGCATCATCTTGCCATCCCCAACCCCATGAAGGCCAAGATGACCATGAACCACCCCAAGATTGACCCCACCAATCATCATGACCAATCAATCCCAATGAGATTTTAGTTGGAATTGGAATACTAATTGGCTTTTTGTGGATTCGGATTTTGATTGTTGCTTCAGCAATCATAAGTGAAGCAGCAAGGATGATGGCGATGAACATAATTTTAGAGTTCATTTTGAATCTAAAAATCAATAAGAAAAGACAATAAATGTTAATAAAAGTGAAAACTCGAGAAAATATTGGAAACTTTGGAAAATATTTATACCTTTGATTTTGGTTATTCAATAGGAACACAAGTAAAGTTGTTTGATTGAAAGTTGAATGGTTAATGTGATAATTTGATGACAATTTGCATGCTTTTATATACTCATTTGGATACTAAGGCAGGTCTTAAGGTTTACTGAGGTCAAAACACCTTCTTAAGGTGTATCAATTAAAACACATTTTATTAGTTAACTTTATTGTTGACCTTCAATTGATGTTATCCCAAATCAGATCTGAATGAAACTCATCTAAACAAGACTGTTACTTATGCCAATGGCACCGGTTACAATGAACACCTTCAGGGCTTGGAAATATCATCTTTTTTTGTTCAACTTTGGGTCACATTTGTTTGGTTTGACCATCAACTTAATCAACATCATTATTTTGTTTCATCTTAAGGTTAATTGAATATCAAATGTAAACTTAAAATCAACTTTCATTTTCTTGTTATAATATTTTTACTTTTACTTTTTACCTTTACCTCATCTCGATTGACCTTGCAGTAATTTTTGACCTTTTTTTACATTTAATTGAAGTTAAGCGCAATTAACTAATTTGGTGTGGCTAATTAAGAAGATACATTAATACAAACAATATTTATTTCAAGTTTTAATTATAACTTCCAACCATTCCATACATTGGCTATATTTTGCAAATTATCGGTCAAGTTCAATATTTTTTGCTCTTAATTCATTAAACTGGTCAACATTAATATTCCTCAATCCAAAAAACCAGTGTTTCAAACGAAACCACTCCATTGTTTTTACGTAGTCAATATATTCATGTTATTCTGATAACCTGAACTATTGATCAAATTTCAAAATGGGATGAAAACCGGGAATTGAAACCTGAACCGGAATTACCCAAAATTTTTGTTAAATGCTTTGAATATGCGCTCGCTGGAGATTCACCTAACTTAGGCCATTGAGCTTCACTCCAATTTTGAAACATTGAATGTTTCCATATCCTAAATAATGAGCTGCCTTATAATAATTAATTTTGGGTTTTACTTCATTATGAAACTAAAACTCATTAAATAAGATTAACTTGTTAAATCTGGTCATCTTTCTGGATTACTCTAATAAATGTCCATTAACTAAAGCGCTCAAAGATGTAGACTCAATGATAAATGAATAATAGACATGTAAATTGAATATAAAGTCATTTTTTATTGATAAACGTTTATAACAAATAATGGCGATAATATGGAAATTTGAATAGCATTTGATATGAAAACAATTATTTATTTTGAATATTGATTATTAGGTATATTTGGAGTTTTGGCGTTATTAATTATTGAATTAAAAATTAATATGGATGATTTGCACTTTTTAAGATCATAACTTGAGGCGAAGTGAAAGTTATCCAGTTGCCATTAACGATGCAATGAACAGCATAAGAAATAACGATGAACCTTGAATCGAAGTTTAGGTCAAAGTTCTTAAATTTTCCTTGATTTTATCAAATTTGATTTCTGATTGACCTTATCAGTTTAGTCCTGCCTTAATAAAGAGCGATAAAATGAAAGTTTAATAAGTATATAAAAGCATGCAAATTGTCATCAAATTATCACATTAACCGTTCAACTTTCAATCAAACAACTTTACTTGTGTTCCTATTGAATAACCACAATCAAAGGTATAAATATTTTCCAAATTTTCCAATATTTTTTCAAGTTATAAGAAGTTTTCACTTTTATTAAAATTTCCTGTCTCTTCTTATTGATTTTTAGATTCAAAATGAACTCCAAAATTATGTTCATCGCCATTATCCTTGCTGCTTCACTTATGATTGCTGAAGCAACAATCAAAATCCGAATCCACAAAAAGCCAATTAGTATTCCAATTCCTACTAAAATCTCATTGGGATTGATTGGTCATGATGATTGGTGGGGTCAATCTTGGGGTGGTTCATGGTCATCCTGGCCTTCATGGGGTTGGGGATGGCAAGATGATGCGTAAGTTAATTTATCCTGCAATTAATAATGTAACTCTTAACTAATAGTTTTTTCTTCTTCTATTGATCTTATAGTTGGTGGTAATTTACCAATCCAAGGAACATCATATTCATCTTCATATCCATGATCAACTCATATTCATGATAAACTGTCAATATCTGCTCAATAATTTACAAACCACTTTTGTAATGATTAACATCAATTTACCTCATCATGTTATTTATAACATTATTCATTATCATGAGATACAAATAAAATGATTTGAAAAAAAATTACTAGAAATTTCTCGTTATTTCGATGATGATCTCGATTTCTCTTGCTGATCAATTTTATCAATTAGCAATCAACAAATATACAATTGTATCTTATGCAGTTTTATTTACGTAGTTTCGTGAACTTGGGTAAAATGTATGTGATGTAATAGGTTAACATGATTTTCTATTAATATTTAAATTGTATTCCTTCAGAACCATTTTGAATCGGGTCTCATGCAAGTGAACATTTATCTTTATTTATTCCCCTAACATCGCGTTGACTTCTATCTCCTGTTGAACTGAACAGTTGGTCATCTGGTGTAGAAACACTTGCTTTAGAGGTTTGCTCATTTAACGATTGTTGCAAGGCCCAGGCAAGGGCTTCATCTTCAGTCAAATTTCCTTGCACAGATTTTATTTTCGATGATGATCCTTGATTCACAGTATTATCTCTCCTGCTATTATTACTGCTTCTATTGCTATTGCTATTGGAGGAGGTCATTCGACGAAGTGCAGCTTCACCAGCCTTGGATAAACTCCATCCATTTCTATTCCCATTTCTGGTGTCAGTATTTCCTTTCTTAGAGGCACATTTATGGTCCAAAGGATGGCGATGTTTAAGGCAAAAATTATTTCTACAAATATCACAAGTAATAGGCACCAACTCTTTTTGCTTACACCTTTCAAAAGTACAACGATTTTTGTAGATTGTACTTCTTTTCTTCAAAGCTCGACCATCTTGACATTCATCTTCGATATGTTGATTAACTCTTAAATCGGGCGATTCACCTTTACGCAATGGAACGGGTTTATTGCACAAAGGACAAACGGGAACTTGATTATCTCTTTGGTGAGAATGTGCACATGAATGGTCTTCGTATTTATAATGATTTAAACAAAATACCTTGTTACAGGCATCACACACAACGGGCAAAAAGTCTAAAATAAAAGTAAAACGAGATGAGACGAAATTAAGAAAACAGTTGATATTTAATGTGAATAAAAAAATCAAATCAACACTTACCAAGCTGTTTACAGCTCAAGTCAGAACAATGTTTGCCTAAATCAGGAAATTCCATAATTAAAAGTAGAAAACGTTTATAAATAATGTAATTGTGATTTACCGCTGGAAATATGAACAATGAATTAAAATTCAAATTAACACAGTAAAAATATCATTTGTTTATTGATTACTAAGTGAAGTGCACCGTCATTGATGGTTGCTACAACAAGGTGTCAACAACAGGTGAGAACATGTTCACATGAATGATTTTATATTTTT